AGCCTGTGAGGAGAGAGGTAAATAAGTCACCCACCCTGTAATCTTATACGCTTCGAATTTGCCACACGTTGCCTGGTTCACCCCCTGGAACCCCCTCCTCCTAGGCTTAGTCCTAGGTAATATGTACAAGTGAGAGAGCCCAGGAAAACGGAAAATATGCGTTGAACAGCAAATGCCAAAAACGAATGTCATATTCGTAATCAGGACCCAAATAACCCCTGTATAAGTTTACAGCGAATTTGGTGAAAACAGCCTGGCGCCAAACTGGCGCCAATTGGCGCCAATGGCGCCAGCGCCAAAAATGAATGTCATTTTCGTAATCAGGGCATCGAATACCCCTATGGGCGAAGTTTCGACGAAAATTAAAATTTTGAGATTTTGGGGTTGTAATAGTTGAATAGTGCCCTGTTACGAACAACCAGATGGCTACCATACCCTAAGGATACGAACTAATGAATTAAATGACCCAAGGTGCCAAATGACGCCAAACTGCAAGTAACGATCCTCCACAAATTATACACTCGTACCTTTTTCTGATCATGTGACAACTCGGTTACACGGGGTGCCTCAAAGTGCTGGCGAATCCAATCTTGTTGCTCGAGATTGTTCAAGTGCATGTACTCAATACCAGTAGACTTACAGTAGATTTGCTGCAAAAATATCATTAGAGGCACGATGTGAACAAAAAATTCCGTCGAACACACCTTCAGCCTGCGGACAATTTCCTTGAGAGGAAGCACCTGCTTTTCACCGCCGATGAAAGTCGTGGGCGGCAAGAGGAACTCTCTGTAAGGTATTCCTAATAAGGGAACTCTCATACAAAATGAGCTTCCTGGAATCCAACAAAGTAACCATAAAAAGACTCACCTGTCCAGGTCACGTTCCCCGAATCCATAGAAAGACAGCTCCAGCTCTGGTGGGATGGTATCATCAAGATCAGCGCTATTTATTCCAAGTGGGTCGAGATCGGCGATGTTATGGCCACGAGTCTAAAGTGCCAAAATGATGCAAGTAGCCCGGCCTAACGAGCAGATAAACTCCGAAAGAAAACCGCTACGTTGTATAAAAACCGGCCAACTCACTTGGAAACTTCTAATAAGAAGTTGGACCTTGAGATGATCGGAAATCGCCTGTACTGAAGAATCAAGTCCTGTGACCGGTACAGCAGAAGGCGTCATTTGAGGCCTAAATTATGTAGCAACTAAATGACTGGGACAAGAACAGTGAACATGGTAGCATTCAACGTGACCGGAGTCAACTACTAAAAGGATGTACGAACGAAAAGTCGAGTGAGATGAAGCCCTTTCCTTGGTCGATATTTCTTTTCTTTCAGTGAATGAATTTTCTTAGCAGTTTCCTTTGTTGTTATTGTTCATCAGAGGAAGAAGGAAAGTCCGTGACGTGAGGGTTCAGCGGCTGAGGGTCATTACTTGGGAACAAGCACTAAGGGTTCAGCGCCAAGAGTCTTTACTGAAGCCTTCAAGTCGTAACGGCCACATAAACATAGTAAGCGAGGCTTCACATTTTAATCGCTGCTCTCGAACTTGTCGTCCCCCAAATCTACCTCTCCTACAGAGTTATAGGTGTATCTCCAATTGCTTAATTTGATGTTATTGCATCTCTGAGAAAATAAATCTGGTAAGGGCTCGACCAGTAATGAAAAGATCAAAAATTAAAAAAATTCAGCAGTAAATTTACAGCTAGCGCGGCGATCTAGCGATAATCGATCATTGATCGGCTCCTCCTCTTGGTACGGTAATATACGGTAAAGTGAAGGGCGAACTCTGGAAACAGCGCGGCTGCGTCGGTACCCGCTCATGCGATCATTATGCTTTTGAGGAATTCCTGGCGTTTTTCCAGCTCTCTTCATAAGAGGCCACTCCACGACTAGGTCACTGGAGCGAAGCCCCAACCCGAAAAGGTGGAACGATCCACGAGCATACAGTCCATATCTCGCCGTCTGATTAGGCGTGTCTATGGATTTGACGTGGCCGTCGCCGCACTTGATAGAAGTCGTGTGGATAAGCTGTTTCTAACATACTCCGCTGGATATCAGCAAAGCATGCTGGAAGCAGCTTATCCGCAACTTCTATCAAGTGCGGCAGATGCCACGTCAAATCCATAGACACGCCTAATCAGACCTTGAGATATGAACTGTACGTGATCTATAAACTTTCCGTTACGAACTCGCCAGCAAAAACGCCAAAACCCTGGAGGTACGGGGCTCCACATAACTTTCGGGGTCCCGCCTCAGAAATTGGCCAGCAGGAGTCGCTCTCACTCGTATCCGTGCTCTTTCGTCTCTGATTCTTTTCACTCTACTCGGCGCTCATTATCACTTTTCTCGCTGAGTGTCTCTTAGACCTCCACAGCCGAAGGAAAGGCCTCTATTTTTAAAGTTCTCAATGACTTTTCCCCTAATTTCTTTGTTCCCAGTCCATTTCACATCTCGATCAAAATAACCATGGTATTTCGATGAAGATGTGTGCCTTTGATGATCGAACGGTTACCAAACCCACTTTCATTTACAAGGGCTAGACTCCAGTCCCAGGCAATCACGGAATATGCCTCTGATTGACTCTAAACCGTCCACAACCCTCACTGTGGCCCTAAGGGGGGATGGCATCCTCTGGGATTGAGCCCAGGATGGGGCAGAAAACTCAGAGAGAATGAAAACTGCTCAGGCGCCTTGGAGTCTTTACTCACAGCCCAAGTCAGTCCCAGTTTTATAGAAAAGAGAGGTTTCAAGCGGTTTTACATGCACTACCACCACTACGCCCCCGTATCTTGGGATAGCGTCCTCAGTGGCAAGCTGTAATTCTACATTTCCCATTAATGTCT